CAAAGCATTTTGTAGGTGTGTCACCAGCCACGACTCCTACTATAGCTTTGTCTTCTCCAAAGACTCACCCCTGTGAGACGGGTGGTCCAGTCTTGTGAGACATTTTCCACTTGGCTGAGCAGTTGGGAACACAACACAGCCTGAAACTGTTGAAGTGTGGCGCCTGTGTGAAGCGATTTTATTTCAGTGCAAACTTGCAACAGCACCAGGAGCAGCACATGGGAGAGAAACCCTTCAGAAGCAGCATGGACAGGGACTCGTTTGTAAAGAGCTGCAGATTCCATATGTCAGGGAACCCCTTTCCCTGGGGGAAGGTTGAGGAGGACTTCCTCGCCAGCATTGGACATCTCCAACAACAGGCCACTCACACCAGGGAGAAGCCAAAGGAACTCGCCCAGTGCGAGGCCACTTTACCAAGCAGAAGTCATTACACCTGGGGAGAATACGATAAAGCCTTCAGCCCTAAAGGCACGCTTATTCAATTCCAGGGTGTTCACAGTGGAAGACAGTGTTTTGTGTGCCATGAGTGTGGGAGAACATTCAGGTACAAATCCTCATTTGTTGTGCACCAGAGAGTCCACACAGGAGAAAGGCTTCATGTGTGTCAAGAATGTGGCAAATCTTTTAGGCAAAGCTCAACCCTGAATCAGCATCGAAGAATTCATGCTGGGACAAGGCTGTGCAAATGCAGCAAATGTGGAAAATCCTTAAGCCACCAATCTGTCCTCATTCATCCCCAGAGAGGGCACAGTGGAGAAAACAGCTATCTGTGCAGTGATTGTGCAAAATCTTTTAGCCGTAGGTTGGTGTTCATTCAACACAGGAGAGTTCAAATTGGAGGGAGGCCTTATAAATGTAGTGACTGTGTGAAATCTTTTACCTCTAGCCCTGCCCTCAATTATCATCGGAGATCTCACAAAGGAGATAGGCCTTATGAGTGCGGTGAGTGTGGAAAATATTTTTTCTCTAGGTCTGTCCTCTGTTATCATCAGAGACTTCATTCTGGAAAAAGGCCTCACAAGTGCAGTGAATGTGGGAAATGTTTTATCTTTAGTTCCCAACTCCATTATCATCAGAGAGTTCACAGTGGGGAAAGGCCTTTTGAGTGTAGTGAATGTGGGAAGTCCTTTACTCGAAGAAATCACCTCATTATACACCTAAGAGTTCACTCAGGAGAAAGGCCTTATGAGAGCACTGAATATGGGAAATCTTTTACATGTACCTCCACCCTCCAGTTTCATCAGCGAGGTCACCTTGGAGAAACAACTTATAAGTATAGTGACTGTGCAAAATCTTGTACCTCTAGCTCTGCCCTCAGTTATCATTGGAGATCTCACACAGGAGAAAGACCATATGAGTGCACTAAATGTAGGAAATCCTTTAAGGATAGAAGCCAATTCAATCAACACCAGAGAGCTCACACTGGAGAACGGCCTTATGTGTGCACAGAATGTGGGAAATCCTTTATTCAAAGAAATTGTCTCATTTCACACCAGAGAGTTCACACAGGAGAAAGACCTTACAAATGCAAGAAATGTAGGAAGTCTTTTACCTCTAGCTCCAGCCTTCGTTATCATCAGAGTACTCACACAGGAGAAAGACCTTATAAATGCAGCGAATGTGGGAAATCTTTTACCATGAGCTCTGTCCTCCGTTATCATCAGAGGATTCATAGTGGAGAAAGGCCTTATGAGTGCAGTGAATGTGGGAAATGTTTTATCTTTAGCTCCCAACTGCGTTATCATCAGAGAGTTCACACTAGAGAAAAGCCTTACAAGTGTAGTGAATGTGGGAAATCTTTTAAGAATAGGTGGAAGTTCATTATACACCACAGAGTTCACACTGGAGAAAGGCCTTATGTGTGCAGTGAATGTGGGAAGTCCTTTACCCAAGGAAATCTCCTCACTATACATCTAAGAGTTCATTCTGGAGAAAGGCCTTATGAGTGCAGTGAATGTGGGAAGTCCTTTACTCAAAGAAGTCACCTTACTATACATCTAAGAGTTCATTCTGGAGAAAGACCTTATGAGTGCAGTGAATGTGGGAAATCCTTTATCCAAAAAAAGAACCTCATTTTACATCAGAGAGGTCACA